TTTTGGTTGTAACAGTGTTGATTTCCAGTTGTTAGGGTGTTCTATATAGTTGTACTGTTGCTATGAAGTTGTTAGTTTGTTCTATGGGGTTGTACTGTGTTGCTATGCAGATGTGAGGTTGTTCTATATAGTTGTACTGTTGCTATGCAGATGTTAGGTTGTTCTATGTGGTTGTACTGTGTTGCAATGCCGTTAAGGTGTTAGATTGGTTGTAACTGTTGTAACTATGCAGTTGTTAGGGTGTTCCATATTGTTGTACTGTTGCTATGAAGTTGTTAGGGTGTTCTCCATGAGTGTACTGTGTTGCTAGGGAAACGTTAAGGTGTTATATTTGTTGTAACAGTGTTGCTATGCAGATGTTAGGCTGTTCTATGTGGTTGTTATGTGTTGCTATGGCAATAGGGTGTTAGATTGGTTGGAACTGTGTTGCTATGCAGTTGTTATATTATATAATTATATAATATTTCAAACAATAATTGTTTGACATAATAAAAGACTCTATTTAAAAATAACCATTAAGTATTTTAAGTCTTTAAACATTGCAACTGTACACTTTAATTTGTTGTCACCCCAAAGTGGAAAGTCTCATCTGTGACCTGTGTTTCTCTGAAAGGATTTATTTTTAATTAATTGAAAATATTTATGTCAGTATTAGTTTTTATTGTCATTAACATAGCAAATGTCATCTCAAGCAGTTGTTTCTAAACCCTGGCTTAATTGTGCATGTCAGCAAGATGAGCACTGTGTAATCAGATGCATTCATCTTGTATGTAATTCATGCATTTCTGCCTTTATTTATTTATGCGTGTTGCATTTATTTTTAGCTTCCATTAAAGTTGTTTACTTTTCAAGTTGCCTTCACTGCTGGCTTCCGTTGTTGTCGTAGTGGTGAATAATCTTGGAGAGACATGGAAATAGGAAGCATGTGTAGGGCTGTGGGTGGCTGTGTTGTCTTTACATAGTATAATAGTAAATGCAATCTAACTCTTTCCAGTGATGATCATCTGCTGCTCACACACACTCAAACACAATGTCCTCTTCAGCCTCGCCGCATCATTTCTGATTTATTTAATTAGACAAGCGCTCGTCTTCCCACGCCGGTGAGAGGTTAACCGGCTGCTCAAAAGCACCAGTCTCTCGTCGAGTGGATCGACCGCACGTCTGCAGCCTGCGGGGTGAAT